CCCTTGCGCTTACCAGGGAAGCACTTATTCCACTGAGCCATCTCCCCGGCCCTCATCCTCCTGCCATTAGTGATTTTTATCACTAACATTTAATAAAACTTTATCAAATACAGGAAAGTAGGATGAACAATTCCATTACTAGGATATTATTGTTACTCTTCATTTCCTTGCTGTACTAGAGATTAAATCCAGAACCTTACTAAGCAGGTACTCCATCACTGAGCAAAACATCCAGCTTGATCTTGCTTAGTTTTTAACCAACATAATTCCTAGATATATTAAGGTTTTTATTGCTGCTATGTCTACTTATGAAGGGTTTCATTTCTGAGACTGTGAATAAGCCCACTATATAGAATTCATAAGCACTGAAACTTCATATTGTTCTTTTATATACTTTGGCTTCAAATAATGTTATCTTATGTATAGGTAGATATGATGATATACAGATATCACATATAGATATCATTTTAAAAATTTCTTTGCAGCCCTTTTTTCCCTTTAGTATCAGGAATGAAACCCAGGGTTTCATGCTTGCAAGGCAGGTGCTGTGCCACTGAGCTACATCCGTAGCCCTCTTTGCAGCTTTAATTTATCTGTTACTAATCAGTGAAAATAAACTGAACTTCTCTGAAATTATAAGATATTGGCATTAAAAGTTTAAATTTTGTAAAAATTCAGAGTGCTTATGGTTACAAAGTGATAGAACCAAATCATACTTGTTATTGCCTAATTTAGGTTGTTTAGTAACTATATGAAATTCATTAGAGGTATTAGGATATTCAACTCTCAAATGAAGCAACTTTCTGAGAACAGATAAGCATATACTAGTTATAGTTAAATTAAGCAACCAAGTCTGTTGAAAATGAAATAAAATTTACAGTTTTTACATTATTTTTATTGTTGAGAACAAAGACTTCCATAAAAGGAAACTCTTTTCTCTCTCTCTTCTTTTGGGAGGTAGACTCTTGCTTTGTTGCAGACTTCCAAGCAGCTGGGACTACAAGGCTCTTGCTACTACACCCAAATGGAACAGATTATATCTTTTTTTTTTTAAAGTTTCTCTTATATTTATGTATTCTGCTGCCATATATTTTTATAATCATATATATTTCATATTAATTGACTGGGCAAATAAATATACAAGGTATGGTAGATGAAAAAAATCCAGACCAAGTTGCCTGTGCTAGCATACACCTGTACTCTACACATTCTGGGAGGCTAAGGCAGAAAGACTGTAAGTTCAAGAGCAGGTTGAACAATTTAGTGAGACTTTGTCTCAAAATTTTAAAAAAGTAAAGTAAGCTAGACATGATGGCACATGCCTGTGAGCCCAGCACTCAGGAGGCTGAGGCAGGAGGAATGTTGCAAGTTCAAGGCCAGTGTGGGCTACATAACAAGCTCAAGGCCAACCTGAACTGCATAGCGAGATTGTCTCAAAAAGACAAAACAAAAGTAAAAAAAAAGGG